ACTTTTATATATAAATATATAATTATTTAGTAATAAATGAAAAGACATTTTTATTGTTTAAATTTATAGCATTTTATTGAAATCATTATAATTTTCATTTTCCATCGAAACTCAATAATATTATTCAATCGTTTGTTTCATTCAATTATAACTTTTATTTATTTTTCCATTGGATTTAATTAATTGTAATTATAATAAAAATTGAATCACAGTTTTAAATATATATATAATTTTTTATATTATAATATTGTGTGTGTGTTTTTCATCAGTTATTATAAATTAAATGAATTTCCAAAATCATATGATTGTAACGATAAAAACAATCTAATATTTCAATATTTGCAATGAAAAAACTAAACATTTAATAATAATAATAAAATTAATTAATTCTGTTTTTGATATGAAATAATAGTAAAACAACTCTTGTTTACAATAAAATGAATATTCATTTCGTATTTCTTTTGTACAGAATATTCGCAAACAAACAAAACACTAAAAATGATTTTTTTTGGGAAAATTTTTAATTTATGAATTATTTTTTAGAAAATTATGGCATATTTTAAATTTTACTATGATTTTAATAGCACTCATACTCTGTTCGATACCTATACATAACAATCTCTCTCTCTCTCTCTCTCTCTCTCTCAAATGCAGTTAAATACAGTTAAATACAGTTAAATACAGTTGTGTGCCATCACTTCCACAATCATGACTTCCTTGTTTATAATCACTGTATATCTGTCTGTATATAAACCACAAAATTATATGCAATACAGAGAAGAGACTTTTGAGTATAACTTTAGTGTTGTACTAAAACTTATGAAACCACAGAGAATTGAAACGATGTAATCATTGCATACTGTATTTAATTTGGTGTCTGCATAGCATTCACCGCTGTTTATGCAATGAACATGGGTACTTTAATTTAAGTACATTCAGTTTCAGGGTACTTTACATACAATACATAGATAATATTGCACATCGTATACAACCATAAATATTCTATTAAAAGTGATAATTGTTTATTAAATCATGATTTGGTCCTTGATTGAAAATTACATTTATTGTTCAATAAAAATACAAAAAAAAATATGATAAATGAAAACACGAGACACTGAGAAGAAGAGCTACCATTCAATCGATGGATTCCTTTTGTTCCCAAATCTGAATATAAGATTCCGATAAAGTGATCATTTGGGGCAATATCTCAGACACGTGCAGGTCCTGCAACTCAAACCATTTGCCGGTGCCCTATAGTGATCAACACACCATTAGTTACAAACATTAAACAATCAGACAATGAAAGCGGACAATACTGTGCGCAATACAAAACACCGCTTACCCGATGCAACACATGGCACCTGTAGGTGCCTTTGCCGGCCTCGGGATCGCCCTCGTGGACAACATTGGCGATCAAGTCGTAAACGCATTTATTGGTCTGTCGAGCGTCAGGTGCGAGCAATTCGGCCAAATCCACATTCTTAAGCGGGAAGTTTACAATCGTCGGGTTCTTCTCCACGAAGAATGTGTTACGAGTGAAGCGTTTGATGTATAAAATCAAATACTTGGGCAAAACGGTCAGTTCGAACCGTCTCATCGCCGAGTCCTTGTATGTCCGGTACTCGCGCTCTGTCTGGCCGTTGAATTTGGCCAGAATTGTAAACAACGGTACCTATAGGTCAGTAATGGCATATCAAGAGTTACAAATGGCACTCAATTGTCATTTAATTGGGTTGAGGCGAGAGAGACACCTGTGGTATAATATTGTCGGTGAGTTCGTCGCGAAATAACGGCTGCGGCGGGAGATCGAGGGTTAGATATAGGAAAGGATTCTCTTCGCACGTCTCCTTATACTCCTCGCTGAGCATCAGTTGTAGTCTTTCATCAATAGTTTTGTCCATTGGAATCATTTTACGCGAATATGTCTTCATTTTGCCTCTGAATGTGTCGTATATTATAGACGATTGTTTGTCGGCCGCGACCGCAGTCTTATCGGTGGCGCCCATTCCCGCCACTCCGCCAGTGGCCACTCGTTTCTTACTCTTCCCCTCTTTTAACGCCAAATGAAGTGTATTTAAAATCCACGACAAGAACGCTATCGGATCTCCTGTTGAGTGACAAATAGAAGGAAATGATATTACAAGACATCGCGAGTGACAAAATTATCCAAAGCGATAGCGAATCAAAAACAGGTGACAACTATAGGACAACAACACATACCCTGTTCAATGATCTGGAACTTCTTGTGGGACGACAGTACCACCGATTGCAACATCTCGTGGGGCGACACGTGAGCCTTAAAGTTGGATCCGTTCCACAACTTACGCAATAATTGTCCGAAACGCTGTACGAGTAGTGCCGAGTAGTCGGAGCCGGACTTACGGCGCCGAATGTGGTGTCGGTAGTTGTCTTCGCGGAGAAAGTAGTTCCTGAGTGGCGGCACGTGTGACAGACTCTGCAACACAACATTGCAGTAGTCGTTGAACTTAATGTTATTGAGGCCAACGATTCCGGCCAAATATGCCGTCCCGTCGAACGCGATGGACGGCCGGTGGGCGCCGGTGTCCAGAGCGGCGATGTCTTGAGTGGTAAACGTGGGGTTCAATACGTAAGTGATGTCGTCCAGCGATGAGTCCATTATCTGGTAGTTATCGGGCAGACAATAGAAGCGCAACGAATCCAAGTTGAGAAACACGTGGTGTCCGACAGACACCGAATGCATGTAAGCGTGAGTTCCGATACCACGACCTATGAGACAGATAGTACGGGTCATTACAGTGTCAATGTGTGGCCACTAAGACACACATACCCTGGAAGTACTTCCCGCAGACGAGACACGCGTAACAATTGATTTGAGACAAAGAGACGGAACAGAGTTTCTCGAAGTCGAAGTCGAGGACACCTCTGTTGATGGTGTCTAAGTAGGGACACAAACGCGAGCGCACGTCCGCCGCCGGACCAGAGCTGTCACC